CCCAGCCTGGCTCCAGCCTTTGGAGCATCTTTGTGGCCTCCTCTGGACTTATTCCAGCAGCTCCACATCCTTTGGCTGCTGGTGCCCCAGAGCTGGAGGAAGCTCTGCAGGAGGGGTCTCACCCGAGCTGGGCAGAGGGGCAGAATCCCCTCCTTCCCCCGGGCTGTGGGATGAGCCCAGGACATGGATGGATTCCTGGGATGTGAGCACCCATTTCCAGCTCGGATTCAGCCCTCACTCACATCCACCTGCCCGGGTGAGGAGCCAGGTTTGGCTCAGGCACCTCAGCAGACACCGGACAGGCGGGTGGTTCCCCGATACCATCAGCGCCTTTGAACCAAAGGTGGGTGAGTCACTCCCTCTTCCCTGCCTCCATTTGGCTCATCCTAAAGCTCAGCCCTGGGAGTTTCCAGCCTTTGGAGCAAGAGGCTCATCAGAGGCAAGGGGCAGCAGTTGGCAGAGCTGGTGCCACCCCCCCTGCAGGAAGAAAATTCTCTCTGCCCCCCTCACTCACCATCAGCATCTTCAGATCTGCCCGTTCCGCCGGGTTCTTAATTAAGCTGAAATGAGAAGGACAAGAGAGAAAAAAAAATCAATGTGAGACATTCCCTGGGGGAAAAGTGGTTATCAGGCTGGATAGAGAGAGGTCTCCAGCTTCCCCCAAAGCCACTGGGCCCCCTGGCTCCTTCCCTGGCTCCGTCCCCACCAGCCCAGCTCCCAAGGAGAGCCCAGGGATCCGTGTCTTCCATGGGGATAAATTGCACCCTGCAAAGGGAGAAAAGGCCCCAAAGCTTGGCAGGAATTAGTAGTGATCCTTGTAACATCCAATCCCTGGTTTAATGGGAGCTGTGGCAGCACCTTCAGGTGTCCCCCCACCCCACCAGAAGGGCTGGTGTGTTCCTGGTGCCTCTGGGGTGACTCAGCCCCGGGAATCTGCTCCACCATCCCCCCCCTTGCCAGATTTAGAAGGAGCTGGGATCCTGCTCAGCATCCCCCCAGATAAACTGCTTTTATTCCAAGCCTTCTCGAGGCTGGAGTTGCCAGCACAGCACTGCAGAGAAGGCAGGGAGGGATCATCCAGAGCCCTGCTGAACACCTCGGGTGGAGCAGCAGCTTGCAGGGCAGTCAAGGAGCACGGACAGGCCTCCCCCTCCAGCCAGGAGATGAAATCCTTACCATTTATTTACAAACTCCTGGAAATCTTGCGTGAAAACTCCATTTGGCAGCTTGGGAGGTGGCTGTGGAGAGAAGGAGAAGGGTTTCCTGCATCACTGTGGGGTTAATGTGCCAAAAAGTCCAGGGTCATCTGCGGTCTCAGTGAGCTCAGTGCTCTACAACCATCCTCATCCTCACTGCTTTTCCAACCAGGACATGGCTCCTTGCCATTCCTTACCCTGCTACTCCAGCTCACCCTACAGCTGGGGGGGACCCCTTGCTAAATCCCAGCCAGAGCTGGGAAATCAAAATCCAAGCCTCTCAATTCCCTCTCCAGCCTCACAAATCCCAGCTCTGGCACCACCTTGGGCTGATGAAACAACCCAGAAATGATAATTGGGGTCAACTCCCATCCCCTTGGAAGGGGAAACTGCTCCTTCCACCCCCACGAGTCTGACAGGACAAGGGGGAAGGGCCTTGAGCTGAAGGAGGGCAGGGTTGGATGGAATATTGGGAAGGAATTCCTCCCTGGGAGGGTGGTGAGGGACTGGGATGGATTTCCCAGAGAAGCTGTGGCTGCCCCATCCCTGGAAGTGTCCAAGGCCAGGCTGGAGCAACCTGGGAGAGTGGAAAGTGTCCCTGCCATCCAGGGGGTGGCACTGGATGAGCTTTAAGCTCCTTCCAACCCAAACCAATCCGGGATTCCACGACTAACAACCATTCCCAAGCCCACCCTGACTCAGCAGAGTGGACACATCACTCTGGCACCTCTGGAATGCCCGTGGAAAACAAACACCCACCTCATTAACTATATAATCCAGCAGTTCAAAGATGGCCATGGCAGGCCGACTGTCCATCCCGTGGCCTGCGTGGGGAAGGTGACAAAAACAGTGGTCAGGGACTGTCTGGGGACAGCAAAGGACTTAAATTTTTGTGTGCAGACCGTGCCTGTGGGACTCCTGCTGGGAGAGGCAGAGGCGACTCGCCGGGGAACCGAGCTGTGGTTAAAGAGAAAACCAACCACATTCCGAAATTTCGGGTTTCTTTCACCAGGCCTGCACAGTCCAGATTTATTTCCTAGCTCGGAGCACTTGGAGAGCACCATCTGCTGCTGCTGGTGCCTTCTGCTTCCAAGGGAGTGGCTCCAGCAGAGCCTCCTCGGAACCCTGGTGGTCCTTTGGTGCTCTTGTGAGAGCTCCCAGCAAAGCTCTTCCCAAAAAACCACCTCAGGCTTGAAAGGAACTTGTTGGGGGAGCGCCGGGGGCTGTGGCAGTGCCCCTCCAAGTGGTTCACTCCCAGCAGAGGGGACACAGCAGGGTGCAAAGGACGGATTTGGGATGCCACCTCCACCTCCCCACGCACGCCCGGATCCCGCCTGCCTCGCCCGGGCGTTCCGAGCTCAGTTCCAAGGCGGCTTCCCTAAAAAAAAACCACTCCTTTCCCGGCACAACCTCCTCCTCCTCCTCCTCCTGCTGCTCTCCCAGCCCCCAGCCCCTCGTTCCCCCACACGTGAGGTGTTGGTTGCAGTCACACCACAGCCCCTACCACTGACGGGGCGTCCTGGGGGCCTGGCCCGCGGCGAGACGCTGTGGGACTCTCCCTCCGCCCCGTCCACCACAGGACGGCCAAATATTGCTTCCAGTTCCTTGGAGTCTGGCGGGGGGATTGGGTACCTTCCGATCGACAGCTCCACCAGGGACAGCCCCATGCTCCAGATGTCCGACTGCACCGAGTAGTGAGTGCCCTGCAAGCGCTCGGGCTGCAAGGGAAGAGCAACGGGAGCGGGGTCAGCGGGCGGGGAACGGCGAGGGAGGAACGGCCACGGGCTTGGGA